ACGCCGGTCTCACCATCTCCTCCAGTTTGTGGCATCTCCGTCTCGGTCATCCCGGTCCTGCTGCCATCACTACACTTAGACAGCGAGCATCAATTTCTTGTAATAAAGACAGTCACACTCTATGTCATTCATGTCAATTAGGGAAACATGTGCGGTTACCTTTCTCTAATTCCAGCTCTCGCAGTTCCACTCCTTTTGAGTTAGTCCATTGTGATGTCTTGACTTCTCCAGTACTAGTATTTCTGGTTACCGCTACTACCTTGTCATTTTGGATGATTTCTCCCATTTCTGTTGGTCAACTCCTCTTGTTCACAAATCTAAAGTCACCAAACACATCACAACCTTCTGTGCATATGCCACTACACAGTTCAGTCTTCCCGTTCGCAGCATCCAAGCTGACAACGGAACCGAGTTTGTCAATAAGACTCTCACATCTTTTTTGACTTCTCGGGGCATCCACCTGCGCCTCTCCTGTCCCTACACCTCTCCTCAAAATGGGAAAGCTGAGTGTGTCCTCCACACCCTTAATAATGTCACTCGCACCCTGCTGATTCATACCTCCATGGCCGCCCCATACTGGGCCGAGGCACTCGCCACCGCCACCTATCTTCTGAACAGGCGCCCTTGTTCTGCTGTTCAGAATAACATTCCCTACCAACTACTCTATTCCTAGCCCCCCGAATACTCTCACTTGCGTGTATTCGGTTGTTTGTGCTATCCTAATCTCTCTGCCACGGCACGCCACAAGCTTGCTCCTCGATCTGCAGCCTGTGTCTTCCTCGGTTACCCTTCATCCCACAAAGGGTACCGCTGCCTTGACCTATCCACCCGTCGCGTCATCATCTCTCGCCATGTTGTCTTTGACGAGTCTGTTTTTCCTTTCTCCTCCCACCCTACTCACCCGTCACAGCTTGACTTCCTATTGTCGAGCCTCTCTACTGCTCCTACTCTTGCCTCGGTCGCTCCGTCCTCGGACGTTGCGCAGCCGCGGCCATCACCAGCTGTTTTGCATGAACTTCCCGACGACGACCCCGCCATTCTGGTACGCGGTCCAGTAGTGTACCACGCTCCGTCTGCGGGTGGGACGCCGCCCTCTTCCTCCCCTACAGGACCAGCCCGCTTGGACGTCGTCCCTGCTCCTGCAGTTGGGGGTTCCACCACCGCCTGGCGCCTACCAGACTGTTTGTGCCGCCCTGCCTCATCACTACACCAGGTGGCCACCGGCGGCTGCGGCATCTGCTTCGGCGCCTCCTGCAGCGCCGCCCATGGTCTTGGCACCAGCAGCCCCGGTACCCACACCTCTGCCGTTGTCACTTGCGCCTGCGGCACCTCAGGCGCCCGCAGTCCTGGCGTCGTCGCCACCTCCTGCTCCTACACGGCCTGTCACTCGGACTGTGGCTGGGGCCATTCCGCGGGTGTCCTACCAGGGCTTGATGGCTTCGCCATCATCGCCCTCTCCGCTTCCGGCAAACTATCGTAGTGCTCTGGCTGACACCAACTGGCGTGCTGCAATGGTCGACGAGTTCCAGGCTCTGATGGACAACGACACTTGGCGCCTCGTCCCACGGCCGCCCGGTGCCAATGTCGTGTCGGGCAAGTGGATCTTCCGGCATAAATACCATGTTGATGGGTCACTCGCCCGTCACAAGGCGCGCTGGGTGGTCCGAGGCTTCTCCCAGCTCCACGACATCGACTACGATGAAACCTTCAGTCCAGTTGTCAAACCAGCGACAATACGGACCGTCCTCAGCATCGCCGCTTCTCACGCCTGGCCGATCCACTAGTTGGACGTGAAGAACGCATTTCTTCACGGCCATCTCGCCGAGACTGTCTACTGCCAGCAGCCTCCCGGCTTCATCGACCCCGCCGCTCCAGATCACGTCTGTCTCCTCCAGAAGTCCTTGTATGGACTAAAGCAGGCACCAAGGGCGTGGTACCAGCGGTTCGCCTCCTACATTCGACAGCTCGGCTTCGTCGCCTCCGTCTCCGACACGTCCCTCTTTGTCTACAAAGAGGGGCCGAGCATCGCCTATCTGCTGCTATATGTCGATGACATCGTCCTCACCGCGTCGTCCACGACTCTTCTCCAGCACATCATGGGCCACCTGCACTCCGAGTTTGCCATGACAGATCTTGGAGCCCTGCATCACTTCCTCGGCATCTCAGTGACGCGTTCTTCCCAGGGCCTGTTCCTGTCTCAGCGACAATATGCCTTGGATCTTCTTCAGCGTGCTGGCATGGCTGAGTGTCACTCTACAGCGACTCCCGTTGACACTCATGCCAAGCTCTCGGCATAGGACGACACCAAGCTCCAGGACGGCTCTGAGTACCGAAGCTTTGCTGGGGCCCTTCAGTACCTCACCCTGACTAGACCAGATTTGGCATATGCGGTTCAGCAGGTGTGCCTCTTCATGCATGATCCGCGAGAGCCCCATATGGCCCTAATCAAGCGCATCCTGCGCTATGTGAAGGGTACACTCTCCTCCGGACTTCACATCGGCATAGGCTCTGTTCAGTCTCTGATTGCCTACTCTGACGCCGACTGGGCTGGCTGCCCGGACTCTCGACGCTCCACCTCCGGCTTCTGCGTCTACCTCGGCGACAACCTAGTGTCTTGGTCCTCCAAGCGCCAGACCACGGTGTCTCGATCCAGTGCTGAGGCAGAGTATCGTGCTGTAGCTCATGCTGTGGCCGAATGTTGCTGGCTGCGCCAACTTCTCCAGGAGCTTCATGTCCCGCTCGCTTCGGCCACTGTTGTCTACTGTGATAATGTGAGTGCAGTCTACATGACAGCCAATCTGGTACATCATCGGCGCACGAAGCACATCGAGATTGACATCCACTTCGTCCGTAAGAAGGTGGCCTTAGGTGAGGTCCGGGTCCTCCATGTGCCGTCCTCTCACCAGTTCGCGGACATCATGACGAAGGGCCTTCCAACTCCACTGTTCACTGAGTTTCGGTCCAGTCTTTGTGTCCGTGATCCTCCCGCTACGACTACGGGCGGGTATTAGGAAGTATATATGTGTATTAGGAAGCTTGTTCATTCCTTCCATGTACACTGATTGTATTCCATATATATCAAGCCTGATTGGCTATATAATAGAGGTCACCCCCCTCATTAGGGGTTAGGTGTTTTCCTATATCCTTTCTACAGAAAGGAAGTCAATAAATAGAAGTAGTGGGTGTGGATTTCGGGGTTCTTTGTTCCTACACCAATTAGCATCTGGTTTATTTAGGCTGATTTTGTTTGGTGATATTCTACCTAGTCTGATTTTATGGATAACTTCAGCTTTATTGTGATAATAATGACAAGTTTGGGCAAATTGTTTCAGGTATGAGGTGCAAAGTTATAGTGACAAGGTAAACTCCTGGTTCAGTGAAGCTATTGGACGTCCTTGTACCTTTGTGAGATGCTCGAGTTCCAAGTACCGTTCCTGCACAATTAACGGCAGGAGAGATCGCCTCTGTAGGGATACTCGAAGCAAACTTAGTTTTGTGAATGAAGGACAGCTTCTTGTTTCTGAAGATAGTATATCTGATCTCAACAGCCGGTTAAGTTCAAGTACGCAGTTTTTGTTCCCCTTTTTCCATCAAAAAGAAAAATGGTTCCTCCTTTGTGCTCTCTGTTTTACTGCAAAAGCACCAAAAGACCTGTGATTACCCGTCACTTACAGAACCATCTAATATATCCAGATTGCTTGACACTATCAGTAGATAAATCATTTTTTTGGATAACCTTGTCATGATAACTCACTTTGTAGTTACACACGTGGTAGGTAATGGAAATGGTAAGCAAGGGGTGTTGGTTGATGCAATGAGATTTCGTCCAAATATTGTTGTCTATGGGTCCACACCATACAATGAGGATAACTGGAAAAGGCTTCACATAGGGGATGCCTATTTCACTGTAAGTGCCTTTTCCCCTTTGGATCCAATTGTCAGAGGAAACTTTGATCAATCGTGTGCTTAGTTAAGCGCCATTGCATTGTCATACCAAGGTGTGCATCAAATATTAAAGCAAAATTAGCTGCTGGACACATTTGCAGAGACACAATACAAACCTGATGATCCCCCGTTGTACTCTGTACAATTTATACTTTTTTCTCGAACCACTGTAACATACTGATTTGCTACTTCCTTCAAAATACCTGTTTTAGAGTTGTGCGCTTAAGAAAAGGAAAAATGGTGTTCTTGCCCTTGTCCAGTATTCCAACTATGATTTTGCCCCTCTTTTTTTTAACTTTGTAATTTTACCCTCGCTTTTTTTCAAACGAAGCTCCCGTCTACCCCTGCTTTGTAACACCGTCTAAAATGCTGAGATTAAATAGTAAAAAAAAAGAAAAAGAAAAGATACCTACATGAAAAGACAATGATACCCCTTGTCCCTTTCTCCTTTCTCACCCGTTCGCTCGACCCGTTTCCGACGAGAAGTCGCGGCTCACAGAAGGTTTCGCGGCCTGACGGCGGCGCAGCTCCTCCTCCCTCCTTCCCGCTCCCCCCGGGTGGCTTATCCTCCCTCCTTCCCGCTCCCCCCGGCGCGTCTCCTCCTCCCTCCGCCACACTCCGGCGGCGCGGCTCGCGTGTTAGGGTTTGGGGAGTACCGGCGGCGGCGCGACTACTGGTGGCGGCGCAGCTCATCCTCACTCCGCCCCGCTCCTCCCCAGGCTCGCGCCCGCAGTGGCTGTGGCGCCGCGTGGCCTGCGGCGAGCTCCGCCCTGACCCCTCCCCCCGGCTCGCGCCTGCTGCGACGCGGCTCCGGTGCCTGGCCGCGGGTCTCCGCGCCGCCTCCTCCCCTCCTTCCTCCGCTCCTCCTCTCCACGCAGGCTCCCGTGCCCGCCTCCTGCTGCCCCGCTGACGGCGCCGCACCCGGCCACCGATGGGGCCGCCCCGGGCGTCGTCGCGCGCCTCATGGCCCGCCACCGCCGCGCCGCCCAGACCGTGAGCACGAAGTCACCAGCAAGCCAGCGACGCCCTCCACTGCACCTTCCGTGGCAACCACGATGGCAGATCCACCTCTGGACATCTCCCTCGCTTCCCAATTCTGCATCACCACGCAGGCCACTGACCACGACATCACCGGCTCCGTCTTCGGCAAGCCAGCGACAACGACCACAGCAATGGCATCCGCCTCTACCTCGTCGACCTCTATGCTGCCCCATGAGGTCGCCCCCACCATATCCATCGAGACCACAGAACACCTTTGGGAGACGCACGCCAGGTGTTCGATGTCGTGTCGCGACCCGGACGCCAAGGTCGTCGACGGCGGCTTTGCCACGCAGTTGGAGGTGCTCGGCGCCGACATCAACGACCCGCTCGAGAGCGCCGCTTGCCTCATCACCAGGCCGCACCTCGTCAAGGAGGTTCATATCCAGTATCTTGAAGCAGAAGATTTACTGCGAACAAGTGTAAAACTGGCCGTTGATGCTCGCGATGAATTCTGGAAGTCAGCACTTAGGAAGTCCAAGCCTATCCACAACTGTGCTCTGGTTGCGGCATCCACTAGGAGCTCTATGCACAGCAGTGTTTAGTTCATGGTCTGGGAAAATGCAATTGGTCAGTGGGTTTCTGCTTGAGCTGTCACCATGGTATTTGTCTGCAATCTATCTAACTGTTCGGCCAGCAGCTCAACAAAGGGTCCAAGGTAATGGTGCATGGCTAGAGATGAGAAAAACATGCATCGGATCAACACTTGCTATTTCAGTACATGTACAGACAGCTGCAAGATTTAGGACATGGTTGGTGTGGTGGTGTCATAGTGAGTGGCTTGGTTTGCTTCAGTCAAATTATTGGAGGAAGTACAGTGGAACTATTGCCAGCTTTCTGTGGAGGGCAACGTAGTTCATCACTCCATTTCGGTGTTGTTGTGCATACAAGGATTCAACTGTTACAAACAGCCATGCAAGGCAATATGGCAGCGAAGGTTCTGGAGATGTCTCTACTACCATCTTCATATCAATTTATGTTGGTACATTATGTGAGTCACAGAGTGATTGCTAATGAAACCAATCAGCATCAGCTTTGGCATTTCACTAAGACAAATCAGTATATCTCTACTTTGGCATTTGAGTCGTGGATTTTGGAGACCCTTTCATCGGATGGAGAACTATTGCCATTTGATAACATATCATTCACTGATCTTTGGGAGATTGCTCAATGGATATCACTTCAAGGACATATTGATGCCCATGCTGTAAATGTGAATAGGCCTTGTGATTGGATAAAGTCTTCCTTTGGACAACGAAGCAGCTGTGCACTATTCAAGCATTTACTTGGCACCAAACAAGGAATTCTGATTTCAGGTCAGAGACAAGTGCTTCCTTTTTTGAAATTTCTAGTCCGGTTGCAGCAGAAGTTTAGTGGTGTACTCTGGACTAACATTATCAAGGATCAACGAGTGACCTTATGGGATCCTGGTGGATCCCTTCACAACCTCAAAGCCGCGCCACTACGAGCTCCAGCCACCGCGCTGCCGGGGGGAGGAACGCCGCTGGGAGGGGAGTGGTGAGGCGCCGCCGGGCTGGAGAGGGAGAGGGAGGGGTACGCCCCATCCAGCTTCGACCTTGGCGTGAGCGAGTCGCTGTACGCCGACCGGAGCCGGAACTGCGGGTGCCGGATGAGGGGCCACCTGGAGATCGCCATCACCTGCGTCCTGCCGCCGCCCCTGCACCTCGTGCCAGAGACCATCCTGCGCGGCGTCGCCGAATCGGTACCTAGCTCAGTAGCTCTTGCCTCGCCTGGCATCCAAAACAGTACTCTTCTGATTCCTGAAAGCTGGAGCCAAGTAATGCAATGCAGGTTCTGTCGAGGCTGGCGGAGAAGATGAAGCGGGACGTGGACGTCGGCCTCGGCGCTGACTTCAGGAGGTTTCACCGGGAGAAGGCGGCAGCGTCCAGGGCTATGCCGACGCTGGACGAGACGGCATCGAGCAGAGACCAAAGCCTCTGAAAGCTAGAGTCGCTGATGATCCTAGCCTTAGCTTGTACATGGAGAGGCGTATGTGTGCAGCGTGATCATTTACATCTGGTTTTTGCTATACAGGAACTAATCTGAGACCAGAACACACGGAAACACGGCGGAGTCCAGTCCACTGTCTACATATGAATCGATCTCTGTAGCATCTTATGTAATCTCCCATCCCAACATTATGAACCTTTTGATCCCAAATTTTTGAATATTTATCAATATTAAATCTGAGTTCAAATAATTGCAAGTTGTGCCAAATATGTTTGACCAAATTTAATCAATTGTCAGCATACAGTAAAAAAGTCTAATTCCAAATCAGGGTAAAATCACAATTAGACATAACAAATAGGGGCAAAATCGCATGGGCATTTATGTCCTTTTGTACAAAGTTTAACACCGTTAGGGGTGGATGACGGAGCAGGGGCAAACTTGTGCTTCGTGAATGGCACAGTAGGGGTAAATTCACAAAGTCAAAAAAATAGGAGCAAAATCACAATTTTGATACAAAACAAGGGTACAAACGCAAGAGCCCCTTAAGAAAATGGATCAAATGATCTAGCTAGCTTTACTATGCTTAATTGGAAATATCTATTCATTTATTTGCGAGAGTGATAGCATTTATTAGCAAGGGCAAGAAAGGAAGAAAAGAGCGAAAAGGTGCAGTGAAGTTCTAGGATGGCTTGTATTTGGAAAGAAATTGGGAATGCTAAAACAAGTATTTTGAATCAGAGGGAGTGTATCACTTCACAGATTAAAATAAATATCCTTTCAGACATTTTGCTGTCTGTCTTGGTAAATGATTATGCCCAAGTGCTAATTTTGCCAATAATAAAACCCTAAAGGAGTTAGCTACTTGGTTAGTGGCTCCTAAACTAGCTTTCAGGCATATTTTGCTTATTTGCTGATTGCTGAATACTTGTCTTATTTTCCGGAATGGTCCATGTGCAGTCCATGGGAGGATGCAACCGTTGTCAGATGATCAACCTATATCAGAGCTCAGGGCAGGTGATCAAGTCAAAGGAACCGCTGACAACTTTAGCATCGTATAGACGAAAACAGGTGGGTTCATGTGCGCTGTCTTGCTCATCTTTGCTTTTCTGATCTTATAACTAAAGGAATTCCACATGTGGACAGGGAAAGATTTTGTTTGGCGTCCTGTTGAACTATGAAGACGGCATGGAGGGAGAAGATCATGCCATTGTAGAGAGATGGCTCAAAGTGGGGCAAGAGGTGTATCCTTCTACATAATGACTTCTGTACATGCGTACCCAGAAGTTTTCACCTGCATATAAGAGGCTGATGGGTGACTGTTGTTACAATACGTGAAAATATAAAAAAGGGCGTACCCAGTTCAGAGAGCTCCCGCTTTGTGTGGGGTCTGGGGAAGGGTGTCAATGGCAAGCATTACCCTCGCCCGTGCAATGCCAGGAGACTGCGACTCGAACCCGGGACCTTCCGGTCATAGGCGGTAAGACTCTACCGCTTGCACCAGGCCCGCCCTTCTAACACGTGAAAATATAGATTTTTCAAATATACAGAAAACAAATATACAGCATACAGGGAAGGAAAAAATATGTAAAGCTCGAAATGGTTCAGATTTAGCAGTTCCTCGGTAATATAATATGTGCCTAGTTTGAACAGTGTACCAACTATCGCACGTTTTGCTCTACTGACTTCAGAAAGAAATGAACACATAATAGTTCGAGAATTGAGCTTATAGCAACTAGGAAGAGCAAGAAAGGACATGTCCAAGCATCTAAGCTTGCTCAGCAGTACTTAACTGATGGCGTTTCACTCGTGTCAGTGCTGGTGTCGACCATAGAGTGAGCTACAAATCGGTGTGCTTGTGAGCAGTGTGTCAACAATGCTGCATTACCAAGAGTTCAAGAAAGGGCAGCCAGGGACAATAACTCATATTTTGATATCATTCAGCAGCTGATGTTCATAGAAGACAGACTTTATCCACCATTTATACATAGCATCACACCCAGCAGAAACTATGCCATTTGTACACAGCCTCACACCCCAACAGAAACTATGTCATTTGTACACAGCATCACCCTCACAGAAAACAGACAATAAACGTTAGTTCAGCGACATGTCTGACGGTGGAGCTTTAGAGATTGGTTTCATATTAGGTCGCTGACAGACTCATCACAGTTGGGCTACATATGATCACTCTGCCCGCTACTCAGCTTTCTCCTCGAGATGGAACAACTTCCCCCGGACGACTTTCCTGCATTCAATCACGATTTTACCATGAGAATAAGTAGCATGGTGCCATGGTGTACGAACAAAAGGTGGGACAAACAAGTTAGTTTTAGCCTAAGTGCATGTCGATACGCAAGGAGGGTTTTGATGAATAATGTACGTAAAAAGCAAAAGCAAAAGACCTTGGAGGGCAACGGTCCTCATCAGATAACACCTTCAGCAGTCTTTGTTCAAATGGCGTGGTGTGCCAATTGACCCTTTGATCCTAACAAAGTTACATTTAGATCAAAAGTGCATATAACCACATGTTAAAAAAAAGGAAGCATTAGATAGTGACAAATGAGTACCTCTTTGTATCTGGTGGTTGTGTTGGGAATACCGTTGCCATCCCATGCCTTGGGTAACCTAGGAGTGGGGTTATCGGTATCCAAGTTCAGATCAGATGCCGCGAGGACAGGCTTCTCAGTTAGAAAGCTGCAGTCATCAAACGATTGATCCCCTGCTGGACACTTAACATCACCTTGATTCTCAGCATCTGCGGAGGAGGATTTCAGCCAGCGGGACAGGCTCAATGCAACATTCTTTTCATCTGAGTTGGATTTTGGTAGTCCTTTGCCATCGAGTAACTCATCGGGAGACAGTGCTTCTTTTACTTCGTATGAAGCATTAGGATCAGGTGCAGAATATGATGGAGTTTCAGACAATCCTGATATAACCACTGAAGTTGAAGATCTTTGGGTTGGATCCTTGATAGGATCTGATTCCAAGTTTCTCCCTTTTAGAGGATTGAACGATGCTAATGGTGAAGAATCTTCTGTCAGTTCTGTTTGCTTAAGTCTGTTCTCGATGGATCTGAGGACAGGGTATATGAATTGTTTCCGTGTTCGCACACGCTTTCCAGATACAGAAGTCCCTCTATGTGAAGCATAGGCTGTTCCAGGGGTCTGCATATCATCCCTGAGAACTAGAGGAGTTGGGAACGGTGAACCACTAGAATCAAGAGGCTTGTGCTGGATGTTTTGAAACAATCTCTTTTCCGAGGAAGCTGAATGAGGAACAAATTCAACTCCATGATGATGGCCAGCATCTTCAGTGTTCAGTTCATACCTGAGCGAGTGACAGTCCTCACATCTAAGATTGCATGGCGTAGGAGGCATTGATTTTTGTAATCTCATGATAATACAAATAATCTCAGAAACTTGTGAAAATGACAGTGGTTCTTACCCTTCTGATGAATTAGCTTCAAACAGCAACTTACTGTTCGCTGGTGGTCCAGAAGTGGGCTTGTTGTCACACTGCAAGTCCAGAAATGAAGGGCATCAGACAATCGAGCTAGTAATGGAGCAGGTTTTGAGAAGGGTAATCCCACCTCATTAGTATTTTCCAAATTGTTTTCATATGACTCCTCACTGCAAAGTTCAGCTGGGGTTTCAGAAATAGTGCCGCATAGCTTAAGGTAACTTGCCTGGTTAGAGTCAAGAGTGCCACGAAAATCAACTTAGAAGAGGCTAAATATCTTAGTCCTTGGAATAATTTTTTTAGAGTTTCAGGGCAAAAGCCCCGGTCATTGCATTATCAGAATGACCATAAAAGTTTAGCATCCAGGAGTTAAAACCATTACAATCCTTGGAGTAAAAATTGGCAGTTTAATTTGTTTCACAAGGTCTTATAAGAAATTAAGCAGCAGTTAATCTGGCACGCGTACCTCGTGTCTAAGCTCCTCATCAATTCCACCCCCGTCAGCAAAATCCTCATGAACTCGTCCATCCCTTACCAAACCTTTCCCAATGCAGCAACGACAAACAAACACATAAAACACCCTGATAACCAAATCCTAAGGCACATCCAAACCCGAGGAAATGATAACCAAAATAAACGCAATACCTTCCTCGTCATCCCAGATGACCTCCGCCGCCGCGGCCTGATCCCCGTGCACGAGCGCATCCTGTACGAGAGGCGAGAGCACGAAAACAATGATGACCACGAGACAACCACCAGATCATCACTTAGGAACGTCGAGGGAGGAGGGCCAGGGGTTTGTCTTACACGGCGGCCAGAGCCCCGGCGGGGGCGTGCGCCGAAGCATGAGCGGAGGCAGCCCAGGATGACGGCGTCGAGGAAGGCCAGCACGGTCCTCGCGATCGCCTCCGCGCACCGGCGCATCGCGGAGCGCCCCCGACGTAGGGGGTGGCCGTGGCTTAGGGTTTAAGCTGCAGCGCCGGCTGCGGGGATCGCGGTGGGGAGAGTCGTAGGCGAGGTGAGGGGATGCGCGTTTGAAATGGGAGCAGAGGAGGAGGGAGGAGGGTGAGCGGCACGGGAATTGTGTCGTGTCGTCGTTGATGGACATGGGCTGGGCTTCGTTTGCTCCGGCGTGTTTGTTTGTTTGTGGGCTGAGTTTTTGGTAGTCTCGTTCTCCTCCTGGTCTTTTGATGGGCTAGGCTTATGAATAGAATGGGCCTATTAATTTATTTGGGCCAAAAATTGCTAGGTCTAGTTAATTAATCGACTAAATATCTATGTTCACAAAATATCTATCAAAGCCCGACGCACCAATTTGTTTCTAATTTTGTGGCGAACCTTGAGCTCATGCAGCCTCAAGGGAGGGCGCGACCTGAAGCACATGGAAGCCCGGTTCGGTGGATCCCACCACCGATCGGCTTGATGAAGATCAATGTTGACGCTGCGTTGGCTAAAAATTCGAGAGTCGTCACTGCAGCAGCAGTCGCAAGAGACATCGTGGGAAAGTTCCTAAGTGCCTCGGTCGTGGTGATGGAGGGCCTTTTGGAACCTAACATAGTGGAAGCAATTGCATGCAAGGAGGGCCTAGCGCTTGCAAGTGATCTGGTCCTCCGAGATTGTAGATTGTCGTGTGACAATGCAGAAGTTATCAGGAGCATCCGGGAAGGGACCATGGGCTCTTATGGATATTGTTCAGGAAACTAGAGCTAGATCACGCGATTTCAATTTCGTTGATTTTGTTCATGAAGGAAGGCAATCAAATTTTGATGCCCACGTCTTAGCTAGAAGTAGTGCCTATGATGAACTTGGTAGACATGTTTGGTTTGTATCCTCGCCGAATGGCGTCTGTACTTCTTATGAAGGTCAATAAAGCTTTTTGCTTCTCCTAAAAAAAAAGATCAATCAAAGTTCCACTCAAAAAAATAAATCAGATCAATCAAAGTTACATAAAAAATGGGAGCAGATTGGATCCCTGGCAGTGGCAGGCGGATCGCTATCGGAGTCGTCGTGGCCACCGTGACCCCGACCGCAAAAACGGTCCATCGCTGCGCTTCGACGAATTCGCCGGAGCGGCCACGGAAAATCTGTGTTCTGTCTGACAGAAAGCACCGCCACTTTGACAAGCGGAGCCGGGAGGAGGAAAACCATGAGAGCATGCAGCCGCCAGCTATCCTGTGGCGCACGCGCATGTGGATGATCACTCTGCTCCACCGCCGCCGTGTCAGCTCGTCTCACAGGTCACAGCTATCCTGTGGCGCACGCGCGTGTGGATCACGCTGCTCCATCGCGCTCGCGCCGATCGGCTAGCTTCTTCTCCGCGTCAATCCTGCTATGGCGAACGAAACACTGAATCGATCATCTGCTATGGAGTAACAACAACAACAACCCCGTTGTGTGGCCTGGCCATCGTCGTCTCCCATGAACAGGAGACTTCCGAACTTGTCGTCCGTGTATTAATTGCTGGCTGACCTCCGATCCGATCCGGCTCCTATCCGTCTGAATGCCTGACCTGGCCACCGGGGTGGATCGTTCTCTCACGGGTCACTTTGCACGTATAGTACGTACCTGTGAATCTGTGATGTGTGAGAAATTGCTATGTTATGTGATTCAGAGCTCTTGCGGACACGGATTTCCGTTTGTTTTTCCACACGCGTTGCGTGTCCGCGGGATCGAATCGAAGTCGATGGAGTAGTGTGTTGTATTGGCCGTCCACGAGGAAAAAACTTGCCATGAATACCGATCGAGATGGTCAGTTGGAAGATGGGGAGAGATGACGACGTATATATGGAGAAATGGTGAACGTCCAAGGAGAGAGAGGGGTGGGAACGAAGAAGGATCCAACGTACAGTAACTTTGGCCGTACGTCTGGTTGACTTCGCATACTTCTCTGACGATGCATGGAATGTTCAGATTGGGGGTTGAAGTTTTGGTGTCGACTGGAGCGGTTGGAGCCACAGGATGAGTCGACGCTTTGACAAATTCTGGTAAACTGCCGCGAGATCATCCAGCATTCATTTCTGGGAAGAAGAAAGCTTTGAGTCATCGCTACCCCTCTCAGTCTCTCTCCGTTCCAATTATATTTTATTCTAGCTTTATTTTAAATCGTTTTTTAAAATTTTTTGATCAAGTTTATAGACAAACATATCGTCATATACAATATCAATTTAGATTCAACAAATTCTCCATGAAATGTAGTACACTACTGCATCGATGATTTTTACAAATTCATAGTTTTTTCAAATAGAATAGAATAAAGACAAACTTCATATCAAAATGATTGAGCTCGGCAAGAGATCTAAAACTTTTTAATTGGCATTTTTATTTGATAGCTTGTTCTAAACCATAACTTCTTTAATTTTAACTAAATTTATAGGGAAATACATCACCATATACAACATTAAATAAGTTTCAATAAAATTTTCATGAAATATGCAATACTACACATATTTTTTTTTACAATCGCATCCCATTATTTTTGGAGTGGTTGACTTAGTCAACCATCTTTATAAATGTTGTATTGCACTATAGGCTGTAGCTTATGAACTAACCCTATAAATTATTTTGTAGGGGTGGTTGGCCTAATAAAAGCGGCCATATAAATCTACCATTTTATAGGTGGGTGAAATAAAACAACCGCCCTAAAAACCACATTTCTAGGAATCACCTTTGAAAATAGCTGTTGACCAAATAAATTTATATATTTTTTAAATAAAATCAAGTGAAGGCAAACTTTATATCAAAATTATAGATCTCAATGAGATTTCAAACTTTGTAGTGGATGATTTTATTTTATATTGAGATCGTTTATAGGCTCATATTTACATTATTAGTTCTATTTTTTTTAAAAAAAATTCAAACCTTCAAATTTTTCAAACGAGATAAAATTTTATAGTTAACTTTTTTTATTTGAGATCATCTTATCCCTAAAATACCACTGCAAGATTCATAAGAATTAATACAAAAGGATGTGGCATCTTATATACTTGATCACAAGTGACTGTGTAATGTGACGTGGTGGTGGGAGGAGATTGTAGAAACAAGAGGTTATAGGTTTGAATCCCATGGGTGGACTTGTGCCAAAAAATGTTAGATTGATGGTTGTGGGCTCTTGTGCGAAAAAATGTTCGATTCGTGCTTGTGGCTTTGACTTGACCATGTGATAGCTCCTCATGCGAGCGAAAATGTTTTTTTCTATTTTTTTGAGAGTTATATTTTTTATGATTTTTAAGATATCAGAGTCAATAAAGTCAAAAAATTATAAGGGCGGTTGACTCAATAAAAGCATCTTTAAAAATCGATTTTTAGGAATAGCTGTGGAATCACCCCAAAAAATACCTTGTTTCTACAGCCTGTGTGGTGTAGTAGCAGTATCGAAAACCGCTCCTCAAATTTAATTTTAACCATGTCTAAAATCGTCAGTTTGGTAGTTATGTTTTAACAAAGTACTTATTCCATTAATATGATTTTCTAAAAAGTCAAGGCAGAGAAGTTTGTGATTTCCGCCGAAGTAAAAAATGAACTATAATTTGGAACTCCAAAACCCAGAGGATTAGAGTCACAGTATTCACTGTTCGTACGGTAAGAAATGGTAAACTATAAACGCGCGGTTGATGTCAGGAGGATACAAGGACATGGTAGATGGGACACTTTTTCTGGGTTTTGTTTTGAGTACCTACAGCATTTCTAGAAAAATATATCCTGGCAATTAACGTACGCTCACGTATATGTCTATTCTGTATTACTACTACTACACGGGTTTTATTCGTATAAGCACACGTTAACAGATGGTAAATCGTAAACGCAGTTGATGTCAAGATTGATGAGCCTTTTAACTGTGTGTCATTATAAAAGATAGTTGCGGCCTACGTGCCACTAAAAAATTCGAATACACTTATATGCCACGACACTTTACTTTTTTTTTTGCCTCCCAACAACTTCTGTTTGATTTTTGCCGTTTGCCAGCCCTGACACGTGGGCCCAATCAATGAAAACGTCCAAAATGCCCTTCTGTCAAGGCGTAAACTGCTCTCTATATTTTTCCCCATCGGTATCTTCTTCCGACTGCGTGGCCATCTCCGTGATGCGCCGGCCTCCCGACTCCGGCGACCCCCATCCCGACTCCAGCGAGCGCCCTCCCAACTCCGGCAAGCCCCTCTCGAGTCCGGCGAGCCCGGCTCCCCTCTCCCTCTCAAATCCGCAATGCGTCGGCCGCGGCCCCGATGCGCCACCGAGCCCTGAGAAGACGACGCGCGGTCGAGGCCTCGCTCACATGTCGCAGCTCGCGCAGTGCGCCTCCGGCGACCAGGGGCCGAGCTCCCCCCAAGCAACCAGGTCGCGCGCCGCCCACCGAGCGTCCACTGGCGCGCTCGCCGGTGACCACGTCGCGCCCGTGCCTTTCCAGCTCCTCCTCCTTGCCGCGCCCGGGCGGCCTTCCTCCCGCTCTGCGTGTTCCTCGCCCTCGCCATCTTCGCCTGCTCATGCTGCGCCTGGCGCGCCGCGCGGGTTCCGACCGCGCCGCCGCGCTGCTGGCCTCCCCCGGCGCCGTCGTCTTCGTCTTCGGGCTGTCCGTGCCCCGGGAGGCGCGCAGGGTTGGGGCGGCGCGTCCTCGGCTTGAGGCGGCCTACGTTGCGGCGAGTTCAGGTGGGCAGGGAGCTCGCGGCTGGCGGTGCGGCGACGCGGCCCGCGCAGGGGCGCACACGGTCGTGCGACTATCGTGCGCGTCGGTCATGGTGGCCGGGGCGGTGGAATCGCTGGGTGCCGTCGGTGGGCGCGCCGGCGATGGAGGCTCGAAGCAGCGAACGGCTAGGCTCCGCTCGACCCTGACGTCCGCGCGGCCGGCTCCGCCTCCGGCTTCGGCGCCCGCGCAGCTAGCTCCGCCCCCCACCCTGGCGCACGCGGGGCTCCCTGGCCCCGGCGCACGGTGG